CTTTCATGACATATGACCTTAACTAACCAAATCACTTGATACTCGATCAAATAGGCCAGATGTAAAGTAGATATACCAATTTTTATGGATTTGCCGGTGAGTTTTCTTGACTCGTAAGCTTCAATTTTGTTGTGACGATGATACCCTCGATGCTCCGATGATGTTCGTCATGTGACGGACAAAAGCTCAGCACGTGTTGCCTCGGAAACAGCGTCAGCATGAATCTTCCAGCTGGTCAAGAGGAATTCGCCGTCGTCTTCTGGTGGAACCGACCTTCGAATCTCTTCACGCAACACTTCCACTCGAAATGGAAGTAAACCCAACAATTATGAAACAAGAGATTCTTCGAAACCCACCTTTTCTTCGCTATTGTTGGCCCATCGTCCGTCCGAAAGGAGCTAAACCATTCCTTCGAGAAGCTTCATTTCGAAGCGATACCATCTACTGGCTCGGACAGCGGACATACAGGACTGACTTGGAATAGATAGACAGAATCATAGAACCGTCAAGGCCCATCGTAGAGCCGACATCCAATTTGATGTGGCGGTATACATACATACAGGCCATACAGACGGACGGACGGACGTAGGGACAAAGGAGAGGTGCACTGACGGGCGGACGGAAAGACAGACAAACGGACAGTTGGACAAACGGGAGAGACGGATAGACAATCGACAGACTTAGGGGACGGCGGGCAGGACAAAACGGAGACAGATAGATGGACGGATTGATGGACAAACAGACGAACAGATGTGGAAGCAAGCAGACGAGAGGAAGAATGGGCAAACAACAATACGGACAGACAGAAAGAGAGACAAACGGGGACTGAGGTATGTAAATGTGGGGTAGATCGGGGCGGGAATGAGCATACAGGAAAGGGTTGATCCGCGGCTCGAGGAGACGCCAGCAGCATCGGCGGCAGCATCATTATCAGCATCAACAAGCCGATTGTGCGTTTGGTCGAAGCAGAGCGAAAAAAGCGGCGAATGCAGCCGACATGCTCCGCTTGTGTCCGGCTCGAGGGGAGCGACGGGGCGGGAAATCAATTCGCGTCGAGACGGACGAGTGAATCAAGTCTGCCAGGCAGAGGAAACCGGGGCCGGTCGGGTGCTCGTAAAGGGTTGCCAGCGCGACAACAGCTGGCAACCGGACAGAAAAGGCACAAGCAGGAAGCAGCCGGGCTGGAGGCGGTAGTCGGAGACGAAATGTAAACAGCGAAAGGAGCACTCGCCAATGTACAGTTTAGTCGAGTTGGAGGTTGGAAAAATTGTCCCAACTCTCTGCACGAGCTGCACTGTACCTGCCCATGTGCATGTGCATGTGTGTCCACTTCGGGTGTGTTTGCGCATCTATACACATATATATATATATATATATATTTGTGTG